AGAACTCTCATCTTTGTAAATTCCTTTGTGTTTCGAGTGGAACATGGGTCAGCAACCTTCTGAAATTTCAGTAGTCGTAATGTTTCTTGTTTTGCATGGCAGGAATAGTAGCCTTGCTCTGTACAGTTCTCCTTTTCCGGTCTTATTTCCGGCTAGATGAGGTTTAGGACTACATCGACCATGATTCGCACCCGGACATCCAATGTGGCGGGCGAGCATTCCGCCACTTTACTACTAATGCACAGTTCGTAAGCATATAACAAATACTTTATAAGAATTTCAACAGTTCAACCATTTACCGAGAAAACAACTAATAAACTGATTCTGCAGGCAGTTCAGGACTCAGAAAGTTAAGCTATTGATTTTCTGAACATGTACCAAAGTGCCTACAGTAGTGCGATTTTCAATGATCTCGTCAATACAGGTCATGACCCGTGGACACCATAGCATCCTTTAAAATTATCAATAAACGAAATAGTTCACCACTTCTCATGTTTGCCGAAACAGCTTGTACCAAACGCCTGAAACTTTCTAGAAAGGTCCAGCTATCAGTATCTCCTCGACCCAGCAACTATGTATGTTTACCCTGCCTCCTATCTGATTACGTAATTGTTGGCTTTAGCCTCTTCCCCTTTCGCTATAATGCACTTTTGCCTGTCTCATGTTTCTATGATTTGAGTTAGACTCAACACATTGTTACTCAGTTTATGGATGACCGATCTTGCCATTGTATCCAAGCCTTTTAATTTTTGCTTAAATTTGAGCTTCCTGTATGGCAGGGGGCGGGCAAAAAAGCTTTTAGTTCTTTTTTCAAAGGCAACCCTAATTGGAAGAATAATACTCCTTTCACAAGATACCATACAGAGAAATAAAAACGATTTTTTATCCACCCCCCAATTGGAATCCGTCTCTAAATCTTCCAGATTTTAATGTGGAACGAATAATAAGGTCATGAGTTTCATGTAGGTCACTCGTGGTTGTTAAGGGAATAACTGCTAGTCAAGTTGGAAAGATGTTCCGTAGTTTAGCTAGTTAGCTAGCTTTCTAGCTGTCTTTCACGAGGTATAGTAATCTAATTCAGTTTCATATAACGAAACCACATACCCCACAACATATTTATATATATGGATTTCTATCACACTGGGATCACTCCTATACATTTTGAAGGTAAATTCACGCCATCAACCTTACATTTTCAGGTTATGTGCTCAGAGATAATTACGCTTTAATTATTGATTAGGTGATATAAGATTATTCTGTTAACTAATAACTGGGTCTGAAATAAAAGCTCAAGATCACTTTTTTTTTCAAATCAGGCTGTCTGTCTATCATGATGAATTATCAGATCTGCCTATTGATCCGGTTTCCATTATCTAATACAATTCTTACTTACTAGCGTTTATTTAGCTTTGCATAGAAATATGCACATGCTATACATGTTATTAAGTAAACATCTCAGCATATTATTGATTTATTTCATATTTTCAGTTTCAAAGAGTCTAACAGTCAATCTGATCACTACTGAGATCAAATCGATAGTCCAATAGTTATGTAGAAATCTTAATGACATGCTTAAGGTAACTTAAGTCAATAATAATGATAATAAATCTCTGATATTAATGACATTAGTTTGGTTTCATATTACACATGAGCATTTACTGATAACACAATGAGTTTGTTATAATAGATAGATTTATTGACGGGAAGTTGTAGGTCGCTTAGCCGTAAAATGCTGGTCAACCACTTCTGCTTCGATCCAGGCTTCCATCCCCAATGGATGTACTCCTCAACCTAACCTAGCAGGTAACAAGTATTGTAAATAGGGAAGGTTGGGTGCAAGGTTGGTCGGTAACTTCACCCCGTAAAAGATAAGTACCACTGTTAATGAAACTGCATAGCTGAAGTATGTAGCCTTATGTTTAAATGTGGAACGCAAAGGAATAAAAACGAATTTTTATAAAAGTTATCTAACGCAAAATGAAATTTACCCCGTAATGTACTGTAGTAGAAACTAGGTCTAACACAAAATACCTCGGTATAGTTCCATCCGCTGACCTTACTTGGTCACTCTACATTTTATCTACCTCCATCAAGAAGCTAAAAGAATCTGGAACCACTCAATCTGTGCGTCTAAAATTTATTAACTGTTCTATCTTACCTATTGTACTTTACTCCTCCCTATCCCTTAGTCTTCCCTACTGGACTACTGAAAGAGGACCATGTCATTTTGAGAACGATATTCAAGGTTGTCAGTAGGGCAAGTGATGTGCAACTTAGTCAGGTGGCTTGCCACTACATTAGCTGATAGACATCTAAACGCATGCGAGAAATGGTTTAAATCTGTATTGTCTGACCCTCAACACCACACACTCTATTCTCAACTCTCCCCGCCCTGTATCTCATCTGATAGAAACAGAAGTCAGTACAAGAGATTATATGCTCGCATAGGAAGTCAACGATGCCCCATTTGGCCAGTCCTTGTTCAATGCTCTAGAGACAATGTAAAGTGTGAAATTTATGATTTACTATGTTGTAAGCTAAATAAATGACCCTTTTATTATCTCCTATTTGTAATCTATGGTGAAACTATCTCAATTAACTGGCAGTCTTGGCTTCACTTGACTTCCCTGTCACTACAAATACCAAATAAGCACTACCACTAACAATCCTGTAATGTTATCTTTATTAGTGTTTTTAATATTATTCGTTAAAATTAGATGCGTTATTTTACTAAATGTTGAAAATTCCACAATGTAACATCAGTAGTGTTTTAATGTAAAGCAAATTGTTATTATTATTGTTACTATTTGTAATGACCACATCGGCTACTTAGTTATAAAACAGCTTTTTAAGTAGTTCCTTTCAATGAATATTCTCCGCTTCTGGGATTAATTCAACTACGGATGAAGTAGCGACAGTTTTAAGTAATCTAGCAATAAAAAATATTGATCAAAATGTTTACTTGATAGTACTCTAATTGTTTTTAGTTTTGCCTTGGGTTCAGATGTATGTAATGGTAGATTGAAAATCTTTCTTTCTTATTCCTTTGCGTTCCAGTTGGAACATGAGGCTTCAAGCTAGAGGCTTGAAGTTTCAGTAGAATGGGGTGTTTATTTTCACCGGATGGGTTTGCTAGCCTCATGCTTAACTTTCCCTCTTTACCAGTCTCATTACTAGCTTAACAAGGTAAAGGAGTGCGTCTGTGGCCGGGAATCGAGCCCCGGACCACATGGGGCATGATTGGCGAGCACTATACCGCTGTACCACAAACGCAGAGATTGTAAATCTAGCTATGACAGTGTCACTGGCATCAAAACAGTACTTAACGCCTAATAACCACATACATGTTTGCTTACTATGTAGTAGAGTTTTTAACACTCGGGCTACCAGAAACACCTTCATCACTATATTGTATATAATTTCTCCGGTTCACTTTGTTTTGATTGATGAGAATGTGTTATTATTTATTCTCATGAGTATTTAAAGTGTTTACAACCTGCTGATTCACCAGTTTCTACTAAACTTGAAAAAAAAAACATAACCATGGTGGAGGGAGAGACAACTTATCCGAATACATGGAATAACTGTTCTGAAATTATGTCAGTGGGTCTTAAAATGGACTCCTGAACATTTTACAATTGACTTCAAGACAAATTTCATACATTCCTAGAAGGAAACAAAAGAACAAACATGATGAGAGGTTGGTTTTCACTTCAGGTCAGAAGGCATTGTGTCACGCAATGTGATATCAGTTACCATTTTATCTGAAGATTCTATTCGAAGAGAAAGCATCAGGCAATAAACTATGCTGATTTAAACACTATTCAGAATAAAGCTACTATTATTATTGTTTAGATACTTAGTAACACTAATCGCAAAATCGTCAGATGTGATTTAAATTCCTGTCCCGTATTGTGAATGTCAAGTGTTTACGTCAGTCAGTAACAATTCTGAGGCAAGATGAACGAATATTAAGAGGTCATATAATTAGCAAAGCCCGATTATGCTACTGTAATGTGATATACTTAATACACATAAAGTGGCTTTCACTGAATACATGTCAGTGATTTTTGAACAAAAGTATATACAACCATCAAGTTGTGAAACTCTTGGAGGGTGCACACCATAGCTGTTCCTTGAATCACTATCAGAACTATCTTGAATAATGAACGGACTGTCACAGTTGCCTTCAAAACTTAGACGACTCACCGAACAGATGACTTTGCTGGTCAACTAATACAGTGGGTCACCTATTACTTCATTAATGATATTTAAGTTACTTTCTTCGAAAATAAGTTTTATCTATCAATTTAAACAAACCATGTCTTTTCACTGGGTTTCACTGGTGTAGCCAAAACTCAGCTCACCTTGACGATTATTAAATAAATTATTGTGATATTGTCTGTTTTTGCATCGGAGTTTTAGTAGAAATCTATTCTGAAAAATTTCTTAGTGTTCTTTTAAATTTCCATACCTGAAAATTAACCGAATAGTTGTATGTATATTTACATGATAATACCCATTTAACTAATTGTTATTCCTTTAAAGTAACAGGTTTCTATGATTTCAGATCAATTCTACATTGGATATTACTAAAATTGATTCGTTAATTCAATAGTATACTTAAGTATATAAGTTATAGCGAAGCGAATTTACCGCGCTTTCGTTTCAATGTAACTTGAATGCAAGGCGGTTAGTTATGATTTGAATTTTTTCAGGTAACTAGTTAGTTAATTTCAGAGGAATGCCTATAATCGCATCACATTGTTACATTTTGCTGTTTAATAAACGTGTTTTATCAACTTTTGCGTTTGTTACACTATGCACGAAAACACCTTACAAGAGCTTTTATCCTCACCTAGATACACTTTTAAATTATGCTTTAAACAAATTATTTATGAAAATTCATTTTACTCAAAGATTGAAACATTGAAATGTGCATTTCATGAAAAACAATTTAAAAAAAGAAAAACAAAAAGAAGGAACAAATTCAAATTTACCTGCCATATTGTTTGCCAACTATACAATGCCATGTACGTCCATATTTTCTATCGAAATGTTGTTTCACATATGTAGCAATATCTTTGTCAACTTCATATTTTTCTCTAGCTGCAGCAGCTGTCTGTACAGCATCTTCTTGCATTGGTGCCTCCATATCAGCATTTTTTACAACAGCTTTACCAACGGCCATTTTGAATTGCAAATTTGAGGATTTAAACAAACAAAAATGGTTTAATATCTAAACTTGGTTACAGTGAATTCACTGGATGAACCAGTAAGTAGATGATGAAAATATATTTTAAGTAAATTTATGATAGTATAATCTATTTTTTATATGAATTATGCTTCATTGGAAAGTCAAATATTTCAGAAACATGCACACACACGTACGTCAGCACAAATTCTACGCAACACTGTGCATTACATTCGTACATACACATGCACTGAAAGGCTCATTTTCATACTTGGTTTTGTAGTTGGATCGGTTAGGTAAGTTGTATGCAGTGTATTTAAGCAAATATCTCAAAATGGCTTGTTAGTTAACACACAAGCACACACACATATACACACATACACAAACAACAGGAGTACGTCAATAAGATGGTTAGCTAGTGAGACTATCGACGTATAAAAAGATTTCATATACCACTTGTGAGTATGTGGGTGCGCAAATATATATATATATATATATGGTATCATTACATAAGCAGTTATCGGTCTATATAGATATGAGCGAAACTGCTCAGAAAGTTTACTTTGGGCTTACGTGTGATTCACTGTGAGAAGGAATTGTGAAAGAATGTGTAGTATTTGTGTGTGTATGTGAAAGGGAAGGGGAGGTGTATGAGCTTGGATGCATCTATAGACATCTGACCTACATATAAAGCAATCCAACTTGAGGTGAGTGATACTGAAATGTCTGTAGAAAAGTTAAGTATGATAAATTCATCACTTTATGTGTACAACTTATCATGGTAGTGAAGAGCAGAGCAATGAGAATAGTTAAACAAAATGAGGCAAATCGATTTGAAAGAAACCATCAATAATTCAGTTGAAAAATATACTTCATTTGTAGGTGTGTTTCAACCAAGTTCTTTATTTCTGTCTAATGGTTTGAAAAATGGATTTATGTACTCAAGCTAAATGGTCTATGAGATTGTCCTGTAACCGAATGAACATGGGTTTGAACCCATGGGCACGCACTATTGAAGAGTCTCAAACTAGAACGAAACAGCTAACCAGTACTGATTGATTTTCCTACGGTTCTATCTAACTGATATCAACTTGTGATGAAGCCTGTAGCCAATCACACCCCTGCACATGAACAATTGAAAATAAACAAGAGAGTCAAAAGTTTCTTAAAACTAGGAACAATTGTTCACACCGATCCAATATTGAGTTCAGCAGTGATTTATTTCCGGAAATAAAAACTACAAAATAGCTGAATTTATCTATAATTCTTTTTTCAGAAACATGGAGATTTCGCAAATATCTTAGATTACAGCACAAAAATGCCGCATCGAGAATAAACGGTGCTTTAAGAATTGAATTATCCTCCGAACATTTAAGTAGGGAATCCCTATTTATCGAGCTTTAGTTTGTGGGGACTTGAGTGGCTACCGATTTGATCATAAACCGACATCAATCACACAGAAAACAACTGAAAAAACAGGGAGTCCCGTAGAACATTGGCATGACGCGCGCGCGATGTCACCCAGCGGCCTCCTTAGCCGCGAGTGTCCAATCCATCTCCGCTTTCTTCTGCATATTTGTTGGTTGGCGATTGGTTCTTGTTTTGTTTGTTCCCAGCCATAGTTTATTGTTGGTGATTCTTTCCGGCCCGGCCATTTGATCTTCAGTATAAAGCCAGCGAAGACTGTTGTTGATAAAGGTCTGCAATAGCCTGTTGGAAACATTATTTGTGACTCGCCGAGTTTCTGATCCGTATAGAAAGAAGAACTGACTGACTTGACGTTTGCATTGAAAATCCGACTTAATTTTGTTGTTGATACTGGCTGAGTGACGAAGATTTCCAGATTGGTTTCAGGTTGATGAATGTGTTTCTCGCCTTCCCAATTCTGACTGGCTTTGACGTCCTTGTTCGTTCCTCCTGTAGTTGAGACAGTTCTCAATGCCAGATAAGTGAATGAAGTAACCCGTTTATGGTGATTGGTGCTGGATGTTGCTGCTGTTGTTGTTGTTGGTTGGTTGGTTATTTTCATAACCTCCGTCTCGTCTACGTTCAGCTGGGAATCCTGTCTTCTCCGGCTGCATCTTCGACCAGTTTGTCGGTTTTCGCTTGTAAGTCTTCGATTGTGTGTGACATCAAACATAAATCATCCACGCGCGAAATCCAGGTCTTCTAGGTTCTTCATGTCGGTCCAGGATATCCCTGTCTTCTCGTTTCCCACTATCTGGCGCATAATCCAGTCAGTCCACCACAATTAGAAATATCATTGGTGATAATAAGCACCCTTGTCTGACTCCTGTGTTTACTCCAAACACCTCGCTGAGTTTCTTGGTTTCTGCCTGAATCACACTTTCTGTATTACATAACTGTTACCCAGGTTCTGCAATTTCAAAAAAATTCATGTGAATTAATAGTGTTGGACTCTTGGAAGCATGATTACACAAGCTGTCAAACAGGATCTTTTTATTTAAACTTAAAATCCCTTTAAAATAGGTTCATCGTGAGAAAAAATATATCACTGACTGACGGTAATAATTTCTGTAGGACGGCAGGTGACATTATATCTCCTGTGCTCATTCAAGGAGGATACTGAGTGAATGTCACGGTACATAAATGGGAAATCGTAAAAGCTGAACCACTGGATACACATCAATGGTCAAATTGTAGTGTAACCTAGAGATGCTGCTGTGGAAATTTGTCTCTATTGTTGGAGAAAAGTCTGGAGGTAGAACACAAAAGTTACATAGTTCCATGTGATTCTTCACATCACATTTTTTCACAACACAAAAATATTTTGATTTCTGTCTTATTTACCACAGCGTCGCTTGTAGTACAGTAATCTTACTATGAACAAAACCACTGGCATATCCTGTTTTGATGGTTAATTTTTCGCTGGACACATTTTTGTATAAATGTATACTATAGACTGAATCGCAAGAGCATTCAGACTCAGACATTGTTCATACAATTCTTCCCATTAATAAACTTGAACGACAAATGTGTATCAGGATAATATGAGCTCGTCTTTAATTATTTTAAGGATTCTTCTCCAACGGGCCACATACAAACTAAACAATACAAAAGATGGAAACTACATTAAAGATTTGAAAATAACTTTTTTCTCTATGACAAACAGTAATGATATGAACTGAGAGTTACATACTACTGACTGATTGAGGTGAGTAGTTTCATACATATCACTCATATCAACCAATAGTGTTTGCTACACAGACAGATGGAGTTGATCTACACACCATAGCTAGTCAGAAATCGGGTGGTTTGAACAGATTCGGCTCTCTTCCAGCTAAGTCAAATTGGTACACCCATGATGAACTCAGCCCCAAACGAGGGAAGCGGCCGTCCGGTGTTTAAAGCACCACGAACTGGCTGGCCACCAAGCATCCCTGGTTGATATGAGTGATGTGCAACTACTCATCTCAGTCATTCAGTAGTTTTAGACATTTTATTATTTTCTAAAAGGTCTACTAGCAGACTTATTAGAAAACCAGTCAGAGGGAAAATTTCCTGTTACTCCTTACGAGATACCTTCTATTTTGTCAATCCCGTTGAAAACGTCAGTGTATGCAATCAAACCATGTACTCACTAGATGGGGTTCCATTGTTAACAGAAGTTTGACTAACAGAAACAATATTCCTTATATGTGATTGATTCAAAGGAGATGAACATTGGTACACCCAATGAATATTTGAGAGAACTCCTATTGAGATGCACCCTAAATGTTCAATTCTCCGTCAATAAAGAAATATAACGACAAAAACTGGTATATGTATGGGCTCACCACTTGGCCCGTTGTTTGCAAACTTTTTTATGTCAAAACTAGAAAACATAAATTTAAAGAACTTTGGGTCTTACAAGAGATACGTGGAGGATACCTTCATTATCTTCAACGATGGGGAGAATTTGGAGAAAGTCGTGGACTTCTTCAACATCCACCATCCAACAATTTAGTTCACACCAGGGAAGGAGTCCGACGCAAAAATATCTTTTCTGAACATTCAGTCACAAAGACGTGAACAATTTGTAACACAAAAAAGATCCATCTACAGAAATCCGACATGGAACGGACAACTTACTGACTTTCGCAGTTGGGTACCACCGTATACAAAAAGAAATCCGATCGGTTCACCGAGACCCATTTGTAGCCCTGATACTATGAAAAAAGAGCTAAGTACTATGAAGGGAATCCTCCTCGAAAACTGTTAGCCAGAAGGTTTCATCACCACTGAAACCACTCACACTTTCTGCTTCCAAATAGCTTCTCTACTTGAATCTATAATTCAATGAAGATTCATTGACGGAAATACTGAGAAACCGCCCGTCACGCTCACTGAAGAAAATCTTCTGCGCGGCTGGACTCCGACTAACCTTCTCTAAAGAACCAATGATTCGCATGAACATATAGGGTAAGTTGCCACTGTTAGCCTTATCAGTGGGCATCTGTCAATTCACCTGCTCCACCTGTGGAGCTAGGCATGTCTGTGGTATCCAGCGTTTACTATCCAAACGCATGATCGAACACTTACGCTCACTGTTTTACAAAGGAGAAAATAGGTCCCCCCGAAGCTCTATTCTGTAACATTTGATCGAATCTGGACACCTAGCAAACCCACAAAGTAACTTCAAAGTCATCTACAAAATACGTGGGAATCTTGCTAAAAAAGTGCAAATCAAAGTAATTCAAACTGCAGAAGTAATGGCGATTCACACGTTAAATCACGAATTCTGCATACAAAAGAAGTTTGTTCAGTCATTAAATCTACAGCGGACCTGAACGACCCATCTTAACACCAAATACGTAATTTTTGTTTCGTCTTGTTCTTGCTTTTTTTTTCTCTAAACTGTATAATATTTTCTTCTGCCACCCTTTATTAAATCTCTATCCCTTATTACCACTGTTGTTAACTTGAATTTTGTTCAATTTTAATTTCAGTTGAGCTCTACTCAACCCCATCAATTAGATTACTTCATTCAAATTGTTTATTTCATCTTAGTTTAGTTTCTAATCAATTAACCAAATTTATTATCTAAAATTTACAGTTCTAATGACGAATGTAAAAAGTTATATATTTGTAAAATCTCAGCGATATGGAAATGAGTAATTCCAACGTTTCCTGAGTTGGGGGCAAACTGGTCCGAACTTCTTCAGGGAAATTAATTGAAATTAACATAACAGAGGTTTATATGTAAAAGGAACATCTCTTGTTTTTTAAAGCTTTGTCCAATAATGAGTCATGAAACAGGTATCAACATGTACAATGAACGAAATTGTACGAGTTGTGATCAAAGTTTGACCACGGACTTACAAATGTTGGTCTATTTTGTTAAACACTTTAAAGAGTATGTTTGCGTGTGTGTGTGTGTGGGTAAATAGTTGCAAAACATTTGTTAACGTCTCCATAAGAAAATATAGACAATCGGGAATTTTGACCAAGTATTATTAATTA